AAAAAAATAGGCATTTCTTTTGGATCTTTATAGGATCTTTATTTGATTTTGGGGTGATAAATTGAGATAAATCGACCATCGACTAAAAAGGGCCATACTCAGATGCTCCATGGTGCATATTTACACCCAAATGTAGGTAAATAACGGTAAATATACCAGCACCATGGAGGATATGGGATAGTAATGTCACTTCACAAATGATTGACTAATTACAAAAGGAACATCCACTCGTTGAAAATCGCACTTTCGACACGGAACAACCAAGATTGGTTTTCCCTGAAAACCAACACAGAAACCCAAAATTTGTGGGGTTGGCAAGTGAGTTTCCTATGTATGTCCTGGTCAAACTTGTGCGGTTCCGGGCTGATAGAAGATACAAATTGTATCAATGGTTTCAACATGGTGAATCTTAGATACCTGCCAAAAAATCGATTTTTTTAGCTGGTTAGTATATTTTACCGTTGATAGCAAAAACCGCATCACACAGCCCAGCGTCGCGCCAACCATTCCTCAAAAACCAGGAATCCCAGGAACGATCCCCTTTTGTCAGATGTGTCGCATGCAGTTGTCGCGTCTTGCCGCTGTAGAATCGCTCCTGAGTACCCATTGGTATCCATAGGTTTCCCCTATGGACGGATTGGGCACGTGTCATAAAATCCTGACATGTGGATAGGCTGTTTTTTCATTTTTTGTCAGAAAATCCAGAAAATTGGGCATCCTCCACAATTTTCGTATACAAAAAAAAAACATAAAACAACCATGAAATGGTTCCAATGACAAATTTCTTATTAAACAAATTCCTTATAAAACAACCATGATATGGTTCCCAAAAAAAAATCAAAATTATCATAGGTTTCCCTCATTTTGGGGAACTCAGCTATAGAGCTGGGAGCTGGAGACATCCTTAAATTGGTTCATGGGATTGCCAGCCACAAATCATACCAGGGATGACGATAAATGATGCTACCCTCTGGTCATGACTAACAGTCTGCTATGGAATCTTTTCTGGAAACCATTGCCCAGTTCGAAAGTTCGACAATAAACATCATGATCTATGATCCATTAACAATAATATCTATCATGATGTTTACCATGCTTAGATGATTGTTTGATTTACCAAATGAACTCCTTTCGATGGAAAGTTCTGATGATTTAGCTATGAAAAAATATGTTTTTCCACTTCGCTACGTAACCAAGTGAAGAAACAAGGTTAGATGCACCAGTGTCCTAGAGATGTCGAAAAAAAATTGCAGCTGGCTGGGTTAAGAACGGGACCAGTTCATCGATTATTATACTGGTTGGTGGTTTCAACCCCTCTAAAATATTAGTCAGTTGGGATTATTATTCCCAATATATGGAAAAATAAAAAATAATCCAAACCACCAACCAGTATATGTATAATATGTGTATATTATATATATAGTGGCAATATAACTTAACCTAAATGTAAAGTATGACCTAGTGATGGGATATTCTTGATTGATCGTGATGTATACAATTACAACGTACAATATATATATATAACCACCGAACCAATCATCACCATCAATCAGGAAAATCCCATGGAAAATCCCTTAAAATCACGTACCGATCCATCTGGGTAAATTATAATATTTCACTAACCTGAATCTTGCGGCCATTTGGGGATGATTCCTCTTATAAACCATGATTCCAGTGATGGAGAACAGGGTTCGGTCGCAACATCATTTACGTATCGATCCATGGATTAAACTGATGTTTGACGAAAGCCCTACTCAATGGGAATTCCAGGATCCTAAAATGGAGGTACGTAAACGTACCAGATTTTTGGCCTTATATATGGTAGGTACCTCCAATCAGTCGGTTCCTGAAATGGCCATTGGCCTACAAGTGATGATCAAATCCCCCATTTACACAAATCTATATCCAGATGTGGTTATAATTCACTAACCACTATTAACCATTACTAATCATAGATAAATCACGAAAGCCCTACGATGATCAAATCCCCCATGTTTGTCCCCGACCTGAAGATCGCTGGAGCACCACAAGTTGAGATCCCCCACCTACCAGGAGACCCAGGAGACTGGGCCCCGATGTTCCGCCCCAATTATGGATAGGGATATATTATGGGAATATTTAAACTGGATATCATGAAAATATATGGAGATATCATAATATGGGATATTATATTTAAACTAGATGGATATCATATATGGAGATATTAAAACTGGATATTCAAACTTGTGGGATATTATATGGGGATATCATAATATGGAATTCAAAGGCTATGGGAATTTATGGATGGACCCTAGGAAAAATAAACAAAACATTGCCATATATGATGGGGATATCTTATGGGAATATTGTGGAAAGTAATAACGGATATATATATATATATTATGGATAATGTAAATATGTGTAATAATGGGATATATTATGAATAATATATATATATATGTAAATTATTATTGGTTGTTGGGATATTTTCATGCGATTTCCCAAATTATATGTGTAATGTCCATGGCCCGTTGAGTTCGATGATTACCCGGCCTGGTAAACGAACGAATAGCGAACTGGAAAACCACCATCTTTAATAGGTAATTCATTCATAAATGGTCCATTTTCCATAGCTTTTTGTATGTTTACTGAAGGGTACGTCTTTATAAAAAAATTGTGATTTGACACATCGAACTGTTGGCTTTTTCTGAGGGTACCCTCTGGTAATTTAACATAGCTATTGAACATGGCCATTTATAGTTGATTTACCCATTAAAAATGGTTATTTTCAACAGCTATGTTCGTTTACCAGAGGGTACCCGCTATTTGTGGAATCCCATTCACGATGCTGGGTCTTTGACCTTGGGGGGAAACAAATTGCTTCCACTCGGTGGAGCCACTGGTCTCCCCTTCAAAGTAGCGCTGGAAAAGCTTGACATGGCCGCGCGATAGTGGAGTTGCCGAGTCATACAAATGTATACATACAGAATATATATATATATACATGTACAGCATCTTAATTAATGAATATGTTTCAGCCATGGCAAATTCGATAATCTATCCATCCATTCACTTATCCATCCAAGAATTAATCCATCCATCCATCCATCCATCCATCCGGTCTGATATATCATATCATGCGAAATAATATGATAATGATATGATATAAAATGACATGACATGATATCAAATTGTATGACATGATGGCATGATATTATGCTATTATATGATACAAAATACTAGTGTGTAAAGCATGTAAAGCAATAACAATCTCGTTTGATATCATATGATATGTGTTGGCGAATACAATCAAATGTGATTGATAACACATGGTTTGATATGAGATGATCTCTTATCCTATGATGTGTTACAGTCTGAGAACCTGTTCTGGTATGCTGTAGGTATATGTTGATATGATATGTGAAGGACTGATATGATATGGTGTTATTTGATATAGTACAATATGTGCTGGTTCGACATGATATGATATGATATGCTAAGATGTGTTAGGTACGATGTTGTGTGGTACTAAGTTGACATTATAGAAATATTTTGGTATGATATTACATGATATGGTCTGGTTGAAAAAATGATGTGTGATGGTATGATATGATGTGATATAATTAATATGTTTGGTTTGATGTGAGCTCTGGTTTGAATATAATATGATATGTCGTGGTCTGATATGACATGACATGATATAACATGTTATGTTTTGGCATGATACTATATGATGTTATATGTCCCGGCATGATATGATACAATATGTTCCGGCTTGATATGGCATGTTGAAATGCAATATGTTCTGATTTGAGATGGTATGATATATCATGGTGTATGATATGATATCAGAACATGTTCTGGTTTGACATGGTTTGATATGTCATGGTATGATCGATATGACATAAGATGTTCTGGTTTCACATCATATGAATTCATATGATAGGACCTAAGGTGTTCTCGTTTTGATATGCTATCTTGTTTGATATTGTATGAGAATGTATGATATGGATTGGATATGGATTGTTATGGTATGATATGATCATCTGAAGAGCCTTTTTTAAGACAGCTGCAGCCACCCATCTCCCCACGACCTGCGGCCCTTCCACGCAGCAAATGCGAAAGAAGTGGCCCTTGGGCACTTCGAAGCATCGAGCCTCGCGTGGCGGCACCATCACCTGGGGCTGGTGAAAAAGTGTGGATGATCCAGTTATTTTTGATGTTTTATGGCTCATATATGGCTCATATATGGGTCAGCTATATGTGTTTTTGCCCAGATGGTTTCATATTCATTCGCTGAAACTGAAACTGAGTAGTGAAATCCATGTTTCCTGTATGGGATGTTATGGAAATTTATGCATTGAATCTTTAGGGTTTGCCCCCCAATCCACTATATAGGAAGGGAGAGTGAAGGATAGAAAGGGTCCAAGACTAAAAATTGCATATACCCAATCAACTATATACATATCTACCATAGACTTTAATTATTGGAGATAGAAGCCAACTTAATTTTCTCGGGTAGCCCACTTTGCATGGGCCGCTAGCAGCCTGTGGTCAGAGGAAAAACATAGATTTCTGTTCGCTCAATTGCCGGAAATAGAGGCTTAAGCCGTCAATGACTGGGGTTTTGAACATATTTACCATATTTAACCCATATTTTTACCATATTTCCGGGTTTTTTTTAATGATCTGTACACTTCAACCATATTCAACCCCTGCATCATGGGATTTGCGAAGTAATCGACCTATTCTCTTGTAATGGGTGGCTCAAAAAGTAGCAGAGGTTTGCCTGATTCTGAAAACTGACTGAGATGATATTTCTCTGGGAAATTGTCCTGTTCTGGGTTTTATATTGATTTTCAGATTGGTGAAACCGAATTCTACAAAGTAGAACATGTGAACATTTATGGTTGCGAACTAAACAAGTCGACCAAGAGCAGCATGCACCATTCAGTCACAGAACGGACATTGCATCGGCATAGTTATTGCGATGCTTTGCTCACGGTTTTGCTCTTACTACCCGCGTTGCACAATGACCACAAAAATTGGCTTTCTCTCTTGCACTGTACTGTATGACTGCATGCATCAAAATTCACAAGAAACTTCTATGATTTACTAAGTACACACTCTCACCAGATTGAACAACTCAACAGCTCAACAAAATCCGCATTTTGGGTCCTCAAAACTGTGTTCCCAAAATTGAACGGGTTTAATACAATTATCCCGGCAAGAGGCCCCAAACAATCTGTGTGGAGTGGGAGGATAATGTATTATAATGTTGTTGTTGTTGATGATGATGATGCTGACGATGATGATGATGATGATGATGATGACGATGATGATGATGATGACGACGATGATGATGATGATGTGGGGGATCATGATGTGGAGGAGGAGGACCGATCCCAAGACCGAGGACCATACTTTCTGCGAGCCTGCGCAGTCGAAATGCACTTCAACATTTCACAAGAGCCACTTCATACAGAATTTTACAGAAAAATGCCGTGGCCCAGAACCAAGGACCACACCACACCTTGTGCGAGCCTGAGCAGTCGAAACGCACTTCAACATTTCGCAAAAGCCACTTTTTACGGAAATTTACAGGCAAAATGCCGTGCCCCAAAGTGAGCCCAGAAGGTAGACAGCCAGTCAAAATGCATGTAAACATGTCACCAAAGCCACTTTATACAGAACTTTACAGGAAAAATGCCGCGGCCCAGAACCAAGCACCACACTTTGTGCTAGCCTGCGCAGTCGAAATGCACTTCAACATTTCACAAGAGGCACTTTATACGGAAACTTACAGGAAAAATGCCGCGCCCCAGAGTGACCACTTTGTGCGAGCCTGCGCAGTCGAAATGCACTTCAACATTTCACAAGAGCCACTTTGCACGGAAATTTACAGGTAAAAGGCCGCAGACCAGAGTGAGCACCCTGATCAAGCACGGGCCTTTACAGCTACCGTAAGAACCCCTCAGTGTGGACACACTGTTTGGGGAAAAAAGGATTGGGGCCAACACTAAAATCAATGGATTCTACCGCACAAATAAGCTAAATACTAAAGTAATTGCTTGGTGGTTCACCGAGTAAGTGGGATCGTTCACCATTTTAGGAATCTTAGTCCAGTTGGAAATGGATGATAACCCACTTACGATCCTAGGGGTGAACCACCAAATACATTCTCAATTTTGTGGGTCCATTGGTATCCAGTTTGAGCCGTGTTCAAAACCCTCTGTCATTCAATCAAGCATAATTTATCAACGATATCCCCATGTCCCCAGATGCTTGATGGTTTCCATATCAATGATGGTATTCAATTCCCGATAGAAATCATTCATCAACAGGGTCAACCAAGATTTTCACCTATTGATGAAAACCATGGTAAACCGATAAACCATGGTAAACCCCTATAAATAACGGTGACATCTCCAGTTTTCATGCTTAAGTCATGGTAAATCCCCATGAGCTCACCCTTTTCTCATCATTTATCAGGTCATATCAGCCGAGTTTTCAGGTGATATGCCCCCAAAATACGTTACAAATGACCATTACACTACCATGAACATGGAGGTATCCAAAAATGGCTGGTAGACCTAGCCATCTGAAAAATGATGGAGTGAAAGTCAGTTGGGATGATGACATTCCCAATATATGGAAAAATAAAAGCCATGTTCCAAACCACCAACCAGATGGTATTTTGAAATGTCACTACAAAAATGGTAATTTCATGGAACCCGAAAAAAATCACCCTACCCTCTATGGCACGTTCCTGAAATGACCACTGGTGAAATTTCGACAGCGACCGAACCACAACGGCACCTCCCAGGATTTCCTCCAATCCTTCCGGGCGCTCTCGTAGAAACGAACCTATGCTTTGGGTGGTGAATATTGGAGGTTCGGGCCAGGTGGAAGATCAGCATTAGTACTTAGTAGCGGTTAATAGTGGTTATATATATATATATATATGTACATATATTGATATACATTGGTATATACCCGCAGAACCTAACCTTCGCCCAACATTACATAATTCACCACTTTTGCCACAATGTTCACATCTCTCTCATCAACACAGGGCACAAACTAACAGCATAACATAGTATAAATTGCCACCCCCCTTCAAGCAACATGTAGAATTATATGATAACGGGAATTTATCTGTCAAATACAAGGTATAAATCCGCCATCCCCCTAACACAACAGACGGTAGAAGGATATAATAATGCGGTTATTTTGCAAAACAACTAATTGATAATATAAAGGGTCTGAATCCGCCACAAAAACCTAAAATGTTTTAAAACAAAATGTAAAGGGTAAAATAATGGGTTTGCTTTGTAAGAGAATATGGAGGTTTCCAAACATGGTGGTACCCGCAAATCATCTATGTTAATAGGATTTTCCACGAAATAAACCATTTTGGGGTACCTTTATTTTAAGAAACCCCCCCATATACGTACTGCAATAAAACGCCACGCTTCTGGTGTCCCGTGCAGATATATGAGGGGCCGTTCTGTATATAAATGGATACAGAAAGGATAATTTATGAATGGTTACTATATACATGTGTATAATTACAGTTATGATCATTTCTCTTCATGTTGTGCTACGAATTTTCTGCGGAAACATATCTACAATGAGTAGACAAATCCCTATGAACACGGATCACAGTCCCCCAACGAATGGCTTTGGCGGCGATCTGCTCGACAAAACCTACGCCGACCAAACTATGGAGACTTGATCATTTCCGTAGCTCATGACTTGGAAATCTAAGACTCTGCAAATAAAAAATGATTAGATATACATCTGACTATAGATACACTACAATATTATATAATACACTAATATACTAATAATATTAGTATTTTTTAGATATACTCTAATATTATACAAAAATATAGAGTAGCACGCGAATCCTGGTGAAATCGTGGAATCGCCCCTCGGCCAAGGGATCTTTCCGAAGATTTCGGAAGGCCAATCCGCCAATCCATCTGGGTGACCAGCTGGGTTCAATCCCCACATGGCTGACATATTTGTGTGTGTGTGTCATGTTCATGGTCATGGTGATGATGCTGTTGTTTAATGTTTTGTTAGTGTTTTGTTAATGGAAATTAATGGTTATTAATGAATGAATGAATGAATGAATGAATGAATGAATGAATGAATGAATGAATGAATGAATGAATGAATGAATGAATGAATGAATGAATGAATGATGATGATGATGATGGTGGTGGTGGTGGTGGTGATGATGAATCACTATTATATAACCATTACAAACAACCATTAACCATCAGTAACTATTATTCACCATTAATCATCATTTTTAACCATTAATCATCATTATTAACCATTTTTAACCATCATAAATCATAAACCATCATCAACCAATATTAACCACTATTAACCATGATTAACAATTTTTAACCATGATAATTAACCATTATTAACTCATCATCATCATCATCATCATCATCATCATCAGCCATCATCACTATTAACCATTATTAGATGAGATGATGATGATGATGATGATGACGATGACATGATAAATCCCAATTCTTGATGCTAATTTCCCCATCGGGTATATATATATATATACATGGAGTTCAATGGATATCTTCAATACCCCATCCCCATCTCCCCATCCCACCAAGGAACGTCCACCTTGGGCAGTAGATCCACGCGATACGCAATCACCGCCTTGGCCCTTTTGCGCTCCGCAGCATCCGGCGGCGCCACAAGGTCGGCATTGTCGGCATCGGCGCCGCGGCGCTTCATGGCGACGATAACGATAATGGCTAATGATGGTTAATAATGGTTAATAATGATGATTAATGGTTAAACATGATGATTAATGGTTAAACATGATGATTAATGGTGAATAATAGTTACTGATGGTTAATGATTGTTAGTAATGGTTATATAATAATGATTTATAGTGCTTGAGGTTTTGGTGAATTGTGGTTGCTCAAAAAGGAGAAAAGAATTCGATGATTTATCAAGTGATGCGAGTTAGGATTGGTCAAAACTGATTTATATATATATATACATATACCATCATATACCTGTATATGTATACGTATATGCATATAGAGAGAGAGTTAATCCTCAAGCAATAATTATGGACAAAAAAGATTTCCGCTTGCATTCACCCCAAGGGCTTGTCCAAAACTGCATTAATAGGGGCCACAAGGCCAGCCATTCTGTAGTGGAAGTTTGAACTTTGAAAAAAAGGGAGAAACGAAAAAAATTGGTGAGAATAGTGATGATTTGTCAAGCAATGAGGAAAGTTAGGATTGTTTATGGATAGAGGTAATGCTCAAGGAAATCTAAGATGGATATGACTGGAAAACATCGCAAGATCCATAAAACGTTCGATATTCTGGTGACAAAACGTTGGAGATGTTCGCGGCAGTCTTTATCCTTAAGTGGGCAATATTGAAACCCGCAGCTCATTGGGATAGCCAACACCTCAGAAAACTATTCGATGCGATTCCTGTGTACTGTGTACTGCGTGCCGCTTGTTTTATTGCCTCAACATAGTACGTGAGTAAGATTGGGTAAGCCAAGCATTCCGGTTTTTCGTGTCCAAACATGGACCCATAATCTCAGTGGCTCACCTTGAACCAGCCGCTGCTGGGCCCATGGCCATCCCAACTGTGAAATCCCGTTGTTTCACAAGTCGATGGTAAACTATTTGGGGATTTCCATAAATGGGAGATACCCAAAAATGGATGGTTTGTAAGGAAAAAAATCATGAAAATGGATGATTTAGGGATACCCCCATTTTAGGAAACCTCCATTTGCTTGTATGTGGATTTACATCAGTGAATATAAGTTATTAAGTTATTAAATTTTCACACGTTCTCAAGAATTCAAGACCTCATTGATTCCTTTGGAATTCTTTTGGTAGTTACCACCCATCTTCGCCGGATTCACACCACAAAAACATCCAATGTTAGGTTCATCTTGTGGATCATTCCGGTTTGGGGGCTACCGACCTCCCTGCCAAGACTCCGCAAGTTGGGGATCTAACCCTTTTTTTATTGTTGGTATCTGGGGCCTGCTCCCCATCTGGCCGTCCATGGTATAGAAAAGGTTGAGTCGTTGGAGTGTCGATGACGGAATGACAGGTGGTTGGAGTGTCGATGTTTGACTGCCAGGTTCTGTTGATCTTCTTGAGAAACTCAGGTATTCATCATAGTTTCTGTTTGTCCACCTGTTCGTCTATCTGATTGCCTCGCTGCCTGTTCATCCATGCTGTCTGTCTATGTTTTAATCTTTCTGTCTACCTGTCTGTCTAACTATCGAACTGTCAATCCATCTATCTACCTTCTCTATCTATCTATCTATCTATCTATCTACCTACCTACCTATCTATGGATCTATCTCTATCAATTTGTCTATCTATCTATCTATCTATCTATCTATCTGTCTGTCTGTCTATCTATCTATCTATCTATCTGTCTATCTGTCTATCTGTCTATCTGTCTATCTGTCTATCTGTCTATCTGTCTATCTGTCTATCTGTCTATCTGTCTATCTGTCTATCTGTCTATCTATCTCTATCTATCTATCCATCTATCTATCTATCTATCCATATATCTATCTATCTATCTATCTATCTATCTATCTATCTATCTATCTATCTATCTATCTATCTATCTAGTTATCTATCTATCTATCTATCTATCTATCTATCTATCTATCTATCTATCTATCTATCTATCTATCTATCTATCTATCTATCTATCTATCTACATCTACATATCTACATCTACATCTACATCTACATCTACATCTACATCTACATCTACATCTACATCTACATCTACATCTACATCTATCTTCCTATCTATCCATCGATCCATCCATCTATCCATCCATCTATCCATCTACCCATCTTTCCATCTATCCATCTGTCCATCTGTCCATCTGCCTATATATCTGTCTATCTATGTTTTTGTCTGTCTAACTACCTATAAAAATATCTATTTTCTTATCTATCTGTCTCTGTCTATTTTCACATCTATCTACCCAGCGATCTTTCTATTACCTGTCTATGTTGATCTATATGTCTACCTATCTATCTAGCTGTCTGCCTATCTATCTAGCTGTCTATCTACCTATCTACCTATCTACCTATCTATCTATCTATCTATCTATCTAATCTATCCATCCATCCATCCATCTATCTATCTATCTATCTCTTTTTTCGACAGCTCAACGTCCAAAAGTGGCCGGAGACCGTCAGTCTTTAACACTTTTGACTTGCGGATGTGCTTTGCGCTACAACTGCGTGCACTTTTTGGAGATCTCAACTTCCAAGAAATGCTCCGAGCATGAGGTGCTTTTACCATTTTGACTTCGAAACGCTCCTCGCACCACAATGACGTACATTTTCCAACAACTGACTTCCAAAAGTGCTCCAAGAATGGTGTGCTTTCTACGTTTTGACTTCGACATGTGCTTCGCGCCACAGCGGCATGAACTTTTTCAACATCTCAACGTCCAAAAGTACTCCGAACTTGAGGCGCATTATGACTTCAAAATGTGCTTGGCGCCACAGCCGTGTGCAATTTTTAATTTCTCCTCCGACCAGATGGCTCTGCACCCACCGCTTTAGCGAGCCTACTTTTCGACTCTCCGGAGCCACGAATTGGAAAAACACAATGTTTGGCGACATTTCTACCTTTTCGCACGCCTTGATCTTCCTTCTACTGCCCCTTTCTCTTCTGACTCCTTCTCTTCTCTGACCGCTTTCACCACTGTTGCTGCATCTATCCATAAGTCGGAAGTTTGACTTCTAAACTTCCTTCGATGATGATTGATTAGCATTGTTCAACATTGTTTAAAATCAATATTAACATATTACTATATATTACTCATATTACCATTGAATTGAAATCTACATTGATCTTCCAATGTAATAAACAAAGTATATGGAGATAGACGTGATATAGCAAAATCCACCAGTCAATGTTAATGGTAAAACATACCATTGACATTCACTGGTGGATTTTGGTATAGTATACCATGGTGTCCCATTCCCATCCTCTGGCCGCTGGTGGTGCCGCGAAAAGCGCCGGCATCAAACGGCTATAGGTCACCCACAAAAAAACTCGTATCAAAAATGATCAAAATGGAAAATTCGAATGGATGAATGGAAATTCCTACAAAATGTCTAAGGAATCCAATGTATATACAGGATTTAACCCTTCAAACTGTACATGTGAGCATTCAAATGTGACGGTTCTTGTCCCAACACCAGGGATGCAACCCAACAAAAAGAGGTTTCAATCATTCAATTTTTGTTTGAGCAAGAACGATCTGTTCATTGTCTGCAAGTGGAAATACATGTGCAAATGACAACGCTAATCTATCGTGGATTATGCAGCAAACCATGCTCCATGCTTGTACAAGTATAGCTCATACGAAAACATAACCCACTTGGTAATCAATATGTTTATCCTTAGACCACTTGGATGTATACTGACATCCCAGTGCACGGTAGCAGGAAAGCAAAACTTCAAAACAGCTGCGGCCTCAAGTGCTGTCTGGGGCATTGAGAAGCCGGCCATTCTTTGTTTCTACAATGCTCAAGCACATGAGCGTGGGTTAGAACCTATGATACCATGTTCTGGAGGATGAACATCCGATTACCAGCTTGGGGTTGAACTCCCACCAGGCTTTCGACCCATAGCCACACCAAGTTGGTTGATGGGGAGTCAGCCAACCCTAGAAAGTGACACCCCAATCACAAGGATTCATTAAGGGCGTATTGACCACCAACAACCACTAATCAGGAGTTACTGACCATCTATTACTTGCATATACAAGAAAACATGAAAGCATGTGTGCTCATGTTTTTCCGCGAGCACCATTGAGCACCACATTAATATGTATCACCTGGGGTTTATCATTGGTATAACCATGGTAATGGCCCTCCATAGGTTGGGATATACCCCGCGCAACTATGGTTTATAGATACACTTAAAAATAGAACTGCACGTCCTGCGGTGATCTCATTTTTAATTAAAGTAGCCTTAAAAAAAGAAGGAATAAGCGCCTTGCCCAAAGCTCAACCGCAACACGTGTGCCTTGTGGATTGGAACCCATGCCTCACAAAACGAGGGGAGAGCCGTTCTTGGCGCTTCACAACTTGATGTTTGTTACATTACTTGGGGATACCAGGCATCGTAAGTGGCTGACAACCAGAATAATTAGGATTTCCCATTTCATGGAATATGATAATCACCAATACACATGTAATATATATATATAATTTAAAGGTTAGTACAACTCCCCAACTAATCATCAACCAACAGGAGTATCGAACCAGCAACTGCTCATTTGGATTCACTTTCATAGCTCACGAACCTGAAAAATTCGGCCATGATTTCCAGTGGCATCCGTGGGGTGGTTGTAATATCTGCATAGGCTAATCATGGATAATCCAAGTGGTCATGGAAATGTCCGCTATATGTGGCTTATAAACCACTGACTACCAATTGGGATCAAATACATCTGCGGAAAAAACACCTCCCTATCGTAATTTGCGCAGGTATGCAATGCGCAAAACCCAAAGCCTGCCACCTTGTCCCTTGAGTCATCCTTACCCATCCTCGTAATTCTCAAGATAATGGAAGAGTCGAAAAAAAAAGACGTGAAAGCAAACAAAATATGGAGTATCAAAGTTCTAAATGACTCAAAAAACCACAGTGAGTAACCACTTACCATGGTGACTCTTAGATACCAAAAAAAACATTGCGATCATCCCAC